ATTCCACTTGCTGATGATGTTTATGGTATTAGTTGAATGATTCACCTGTTAATAATTCAACGGCATTTATGATTGAGATGTGAACATATAGAAATACTTAGAGTTTATCTTGTACTTGGATATAGCTCTATTTATCATCATTTGAGCAAAGGTGAAGTGAAATTGTTCATTGTAATTAGGAAAAAATTAATATATTGTCAAGTGTTCTATTACGTATTCACAAAGTTGTTTTTGCTATATTTTTCATAATTTCATTTACTTTGAATACCAAGATTACCATTTAAGGTGTATTTGGTCGATTATGTTTTAATTCAATATAGTGAGTTAATATAGTTCTACAATATAGACCGTTGTTATAACCAGTGGTGCTGTTATTGTTACTAGAACATTCATGGTTTTTCTCGACAGTATTCTCTTCTCTTGGTTGATTCGAAGGTGTTTATATACTAGTACTAGATAAAATGCGAGCGTTGGAGGCCGAAATGCTTCTCAGAATAAAGCAACAGCTTAACTTCAAGCCTAGAAATCCTTATTGTGAGTACATATATGTTATGAAAATGTATTCATCTTTTATCTCCTTTTACTTTTTTCCCCCTCTCATTTACGTATTTAGGTCTTTTTAATGACTCTTTGTGCTCAATCTCACGTTTCATTCTCCCATCCTTTTTAATTCTTAAATTCAATTTTCAGTTGTGCACTGGATGATGCAATAAATCAAGATTTTGTGTGCAAAAGAATGGCTGCTTGCTGTGTATTAATTCCTTCCAAAAGGAAAACGACTTTTGGTCATTATGGAGTAATTTTGTATTTACTAGCTATATATGATATTCAATAAAAATGTAATAAAGTATCAAGAAGAAAAACTTTTTGTATAATAGTTAATCAATTATAAGAAGTTATGAGCTAATTATTGGTACTTTTGTCTTTTTATTCTTTTTTCAACAACTTATTAACTTCTCTGGCCGATCACACAACCAGTTTCATCTTTTTTGCTTTCACATAATTATGTTTAAGTTAAGACAAAGGAAAGTGAATTTGTGCATGTAATACTCATGACAAATATTTCATACCAGATTGGGAGTGTGTCTAACGATAGTGAGAAATTACATATAAAAAATGTGAAGGAGAAAGATGTCTCAATATGAAAAAACAGTGACATTAGAAAAAGAATTATTCTATGGAGTTAGTCTTTAACCCTACAATATTTAGTAACTTCCTGTATACACATTTAAAAATCCTATATGTTTATAGTTTTAGGTCGAAAACTCTATCTATCTATTTTTTCCAAAATTTTAAAAAACCTTTTTTATTTTATAAAATTATACGATACTATAATTTTTCGTCCATAAGACTTCCATAAAATTAAAATACTTATTTGAGGTTTTGAACATGTTTACTAACCGCTCATGTTCTTTTTTTTAAGTACTTTGGTAGATTTCTGCCTTATTATTTGGTTATTCTCCGCTTCCAATTGAGTATTTGTTAAAATATAGAATTGATATGTATTAATGTCTATAAGTATTCATATTTTTAGTATGTTTTGCATTAATTGATCAATGTAAGTATTTTTGAATTTTTTTCCTTAGTAGAATGTGAAACTCTATCAGTGTGAAAAGAAACAAGCACTCGGGTGAAGGTTGATAATTGGTGTTGTCGACTTCAAGAAGCAAATTGATTAGTGTCGCTGTTTGATAACGAATTGCTTTGTTTTTATTATTTTCCTTTTGTATGGTTAGAGACTTCTTTTCGATAAGATTTGCATATTAAAAAAAAGAGTTGTTTGTAAATTTATTAATCACCGCGCGAAGCGCGGATAAATTCACTAGTTAATATATACTTGGAAGCTACCAATGAACTTGACAATAAACCTCACCTCTTCCCTTCTAACAGGGTCCTTGAAGGCCGAATCAATGACATCCTTTGTAGGTACTATCTTCCATCTTGGTATGACATCTTCCACTTTAGTTAGTAAGCTTATAACCATTGGATGTGGCTTCACTTTCTCAGATATCTGGTGAATTTTTGCAATGTACATTAGCAACACCATAACCGGTTCATTTTCCTTTTGACTTCTAAAAGGTCCGTCCCTACTAAATGCAATCACTAATTAAAGATACAGTAAATGTGCTAGGCTGAAAGTCTTAATTTGGCCCCTACCTTACACATAGGTGCAACCAGAAGAGCACCATGCCAAAAGGAAGGATCCTTCTTGTGTATTAAAAGAGCCACGGCCCCACCCATCGACTCCCCATACAAAAACCTTGTATTCTCTCTGTACTCCTCCCGCGCTGATGTCCAAGAGAATAAGTCTTTTAGTAAAGAGGATAACAAGTGCAGAGATCATGTTGAAAAATATTCTACTTAAATGAAGAAAAATGAATGTCTTCAAGTGTTTCAAAAAGGAACAACTCCAAAAATTTTACCAAGAGAAAGGAAAAAGGAACAAAATGTTATTCTAAAGATGTTCTTTTCCACATTAACATATCAAAGATAGATGATTTCTCACTTGTGAGGTCATGTATTTGGTATCTTACCACAAACGGACTTGAAAAAGTCACTGCAGTCATTGACAATGTTGTCAAACCTTTTGATATAACAGCGGGAACCCATTGACCGTCCATGGCCTTCATAATCTATTCCAAACACCGCATATCCATGATTCGCAAGCTTTGTCCCAACGCCTAGCCATAATAATACAATATCTATGTTAATTTGGATCTGCAACATGAGCTTTCACAGTTCTATTGTGCACAAGAAATATTGGCTATCGGCATTGCATAGATAGCAATGGCATGAGACTTTCCTTAGATTACAATTAACAAGAGAATTGAACCCCTCAAAACCAAACATCAAACACTGTAAATTCACGATAGCATTCAGTGATGTGTATGTGGTAAACCACAAATGAGGTAATCCATTGTTTGTCACAAATTCCCTTCAGGAATTGAAGGGAAAACCAAATGTTTGATGCCACATTGTTTGTCAACAGAAAATACTTGGTAGAGGTTAGACCAGCAGCTCACGTACCCTGGTCCAAGTATTGCAAAACCAGAATCTTTTCTCACTGGAAGTCAAGTTGAACAGGTCAAGCAAATATATTTAGTTTTTATCATTTACTTAATTCTTTTGAACAGTCAAAGTCTTAAGTTAGATGATTTCAGATGTATTCTATCGTACATCCTACTATTAAAATCTATGTTATGTTCTAGTAGAATTTTATTATTTGTTTGACTATCTGAATTCCAAGTGTCCCACAAATTCAATCTCTCTGTTGAGGACCCAACAATATTTGCTAACCTAATCAAACTACCAAGATAGGATGGTTTCTCAATAGTCAGCCAACCTATCAACAAGCCTTTATTTATCCTTATTTTAACCAGACAAAACAATTAATTTCCAACATAGGTGTTAGTTGGGAAAGGAAACAGACCAATCATTCTGTAGGCAACCATAGAAGGATGATATTTGAGTTTCAACAAATCTATAGTACCTTGAGTCTGAGTGGAATAATAGAGGTAGATGAGTTCTAAGTGTGATATCATCAATTTGAGGTCCATTCTTTATTGCATCTTTAACTACTAGCTCCTTGCATTTGCATTATTTTATTTCACCAATAATTGAGCCGAGGGTCTATCATAAATATCATCTCTACCTTACACAAAGTAGGGGTAGGGGTAACATCGGCGTACACCCAAACTCCACTTATAAGATCACACTAGGAATGTTGTTGTTATATTACCAATAATTGTGCCCTCAAAAGAGATAATCTTGTATAATGATATACCACACTCATATGAACATAATGGGGAGATATAGTCAAACAACAACTACACCTAAGCTCATCTTAGTCAGAATATGATACAAAATAAAAATAATTTAACTTACTATAAGTTGTCTAAAAAAATGTGAATCAGATATGGGCACCAACAGTTTGTGAGAATAAAAAGAAAAGAAATGATAAGATAAGAGGTACACTCCATAAATTTCACAGGTATGGTGGGTCACCTGTGAAGTCAAAACAATAACAAGCGTAGCAGGAAATGGACCATATCTTGCTGTACTAAAAGTAAGGTGACCTTACCATAAAAAATGGACCCCAAATTATAAAAAAGTGGGTACCTTTTGTACTGTTACCCTGTGACAGAACTCAATAGGGAAGGAAAAAAGAAGTAAAAGTAAAACCATCCTCTTGAATGAGACTATTAAGAAAGGCACGGGAGGTAGGCGGAAAGACGTAATGACATGCATTCATTGGCACTTCTCATACATTTAAAAAACAACTACTACTATTTCTATAGAAAATTGGCCATGAAAGTGAAAACACATTAAATGAGGTAACATTTATTACCTCTCATGAATCCACTGCACTCCATACCATAGCCTGCAACATCGTTTACCAATTATTAGATCAATTTACAACCAAACAAAAAAAACAGTCCGGTACACTAAGTCCGAGTTTGGGGAAGGGCGGACCACAAGGGTTTATTGTATGCAACCTTATCCTGCATTTATGCAAGAGGCACTTGAAACAAAAGAAAAAAAGTGAAAAGATGGTGAAAGAGAAACAGACCGTGGCAAAGGAAAACAAGGGCCTTTGGAGAAGAAAAGGGCAACCATCTACAAGTAAAAAGCTGAACACCTCTTGAATTCCTTATATATTCCTAATGCCAATGATGTAAAGCCATAATCTTTATTAGAGGTGGCAATATATTTGTTTAAGAAAAACCCCATATAGAAAAGTTAAGAAAAAAATATGCATGCTATTGAGAAAAACCCACCTCATGATATTCAACACCCATCGTATATTTTCAAGGAAAAAACCAAACCCCAACTCAGAAAATGTGACTCAGCATTCAAGTGACATAATTTGGTAAGTGACAGATCTGTGTAATATGGTGCAGTTTATGTAGTTGTAGTTGCAGATGAAGAAAGGGCAAGGGAACAAACAGAGAAGAAGGAGGGATCAAAGCGATTCTTGATATGATACAAACTGGAGTATAATACTAAGGTATTATAATCAAAAGCAAGAGGGTATAAGGTGGACCTGAGAAGTTGGAATATATACAGAGAAAGATAGGATGAGGTGACTGAAATGACTAAAGTTTTGATTTTTTTTTTGATAGTATTTGGTTTGGTTGATAAAGGGAAGCTTCCAAATTTGTGAGGTAACGTGGGCTAAGCCCATCCCTTTGCTCCTTTCCAGAATTTTAGATTTCGATCACCACTGAATATTGAGAAATAAAATCCAAATTGCATTTGGACCCAATCAATTATTAGAAGGGAAATTTTAGTTCTTATATCATATAGGAAACTATATTACTAAATATGTTCATAGTTTGCATATTACCTTTCATGCTAATAGTATTTCTACATAATATATACACTACACTAAATAATGAATCATTATAGCTGTAGAATTCCTTATTTAGGCACACTAAAAAAGGGAAATTAAATATTTTCCAGATCTTCCAACGCAAATCACGCACAATAATAACTATCGTTGACTTCTTTACAAAATTTCCGTACTCTGTTTTTTGCGCTAAACTCTATTTCAACATTTTCTCTGATTTCACAAATCAAAATTGACAAAATCTTCTACAATTCTTCTGCAATAAAAGCAATTATGGCAAAATACAAAGTAAAGGAAAAGAGAGCAGTAATTCCACCATTGGCAACCATTAAAAAGCTTTGAAGCTTTGAATTCAAATTTGGGTTTTCAAAAATCATTATTTGTTTGGATTGGGTGTTGTTGAAAATAATTGGGAATATGGTTTGGAGTTATATCTCAATTTTGAGGGGTTTTGGTGAAGATTAGACTTGGTTTACTGAATTTCAGATTGAAACTCAAAGAAGAAGACATATATTGCAGAAACTGTAGATAAATTGTAGACAGTTGTTTGTTTATTTTTCTTTTATTCATTTACCTATTGTATGAAAGTTGAACAACATTGTATAAAAAATGTATTTAAGTGGATGATTTAGTACTGTTTTGGACAAAAATATGTATCAAAAATGTGAAACATACATTTCAGGGGAAGCATTTCGAGTCCACATATGTACCCAATTTGTAGATAAATTATAGATTATTTGTATTCTGATTGTAGATGCTTTATTTTCTGTTTTCACAAATAAAAAATGACTAAAACTTCTATAAATCTTCTGAAAAACGCAATTATGCTACAATTGAATGGGAATTGGGATATTAAAATTCAACGTACCCAGTTTGTAGATATTTTGTAGATAAATTGTAAATTATTTGTATTTTGATTGTAGATGCTTTATTTTCTGTTTTCACAAATAAAAAAATGAGTAAAACTTCTACAAATCTTCTGAAAAAACGCAATTATGTCAAAAATCTCAATTATGCTACAATTGAATGAGAATTGGGATATTAAAATTCAATGTACCCAGTTTGTAGATATTTTGCAGATAAATTGTAGATTATTTGTATACTGATTGTAGATGCTTTGTTTTCTGTTTTCATAAATAAAAAATGACTAAAACTTCTACAAATCTTCTGCAAAAAATACAATTATGTCGAAAATCCTGATTATGCTACAATTTTGTGATTCTCCTATATACTTTTGTTACTCCTTACGAAACTGCTATGCTAAATATGAAATCCAAAAAAATATTTCTGCAATTTTTCTTCAAGAAAAATAAATAAATAATAGTCTACAATTTTTCTTCAATTTATCTACAATTTCTACAATATACGTCTTCTTCTTCTTCTTCTTCTTCGAATTTCAATCTGAAATTCAGCCAAAACCAAGTCTAATCTTCATCAAAACCCCTCAAAATTGAGATATAAACTCCAAACCATATTCCCAATTATTTACAACAACACCCAATCCAAATAAATAATGATTTTTGAAAATCCAAATTTGAATTCAAAGCTTCAAATCTTTTTAATGGCTGTAAATGGTGGAATTGCTGCTCTCTTTTCCTTTCCTCTTATATTACTGAAGGAACCCAAAATCATAACCATCAAAAGTTATTGCTGTGTATGAAACTTTGAACATTTGACTTCAATTTTGACTGGTTGTAGAAGAAAAAACCTTGATTTTGGACGTTAATGGTAGATGGTTTCAATTGTTTTTTTTTGGATTTAGCAGAGGGTTTCAATTATTTTTCTGGTTTCTGGGTGTGTGGTGATACGTGGGTGAGGGTGTGGGGTTGGGAGAGAGAAACGT